CTTGAAAAGACTGATGAGCAAATAGCAACTGAAGAAGACAAAAAAGTGAAAGATTTTTTTATAGATATAAAAAACAAGAGTCAAGCGAAGCTTAAGGAGAAGCCGTACTTTTACATACCACGAGATGTGCTGAGGCAGAAGGTCGATGCTCACAAGAAAAAGATGATTGAACTTCGTAAGCCTTCGCCACTATCAGACTATGACCGCTCCCTCGTGAAGTCACATGATGCAGATAAGAAAAGGAAAAGAGCATCAGGGAAGGATGTCCCACAGCTCGGACAACAGAAGCAACCGATGCAAAATCTGGAAGGATGTCCCACAGCTCGGACAATAGAAGCAACCAATGCAAAATCTTATTGTTGCTAATGAATATGGTTCCATCATAGAAGTCTATCGACCAGACAACTCTGGAGAAGTGTCGGTTCAAGCCCTTAATGATTTTTTTGAAGATACTGGTTTAACCTTGGATCAATTGACGGGCAAAGCTCAATCCGAACACGAAGTTGATACCGGAAGACTTATAAATATGGCAAAAGTCTGTACAACCTGCGACTCTCAATAAATTGGAGTGCAAAATGTACTTGCTCAACAAGTGGTACATGCAGGCGTGTGACAGGGGTGAGCAGTGGATCTTTGTCAGATTTAGAGACCATCATTACTTCCGTGGTGATGACATCTTACATATTAGTTTCGAAGAATTGCATCAACTATACCACTTGGACGCTCTAGACAAATCAATCATTAGCTCCTTTTGTTTGTAAGTGATTCTTACTTTTATTTAATAAACTCACTTCCATGCGTACGTGTATATAATTATCCTCACATGTAACTTATATTTATATACAGATTCCAGATGTCAGAGCTCCAAAGAATACAAGACACCAATGTTGGCTTCATTGATCCTTATATCATATTCAAAACCGGTATTATTATCAAGGAGCGGTGGGTATCTGAAACACAGGAGAATATCATGTTGTTCTTCGTGAAGCAGCACGACAAGACAACAATACTTTTCCCGTACAACTTTGAGTAAGTGTTAATAATAATGTAGTCTACACATTTTATGTAATATCAATACAACTTATATGCATGTACGTGTGTGTATAAACCAATGCAGTTTTCACTGGATACTCATTGTCATTGAGTTAAACTCAAGTCGGTTAGTAATCTTTGACTCGTTGAGAAAAGAGCGGGCACTATACCAAGATATGATAGACATTATCCGAGGTAATTTCGATCTCGCGCTAACTATTATTGAATAGACTTTGCCATAATTTATTAACGATCGTACATTATTGGTCACACAGGGTTTGGAAAGAGTTTATTCGGCAACATCGCAAGGATTGCAAGGCACCACTTAATGTAGTTGAATACCAGTAAGTTGTACTATATACACTTCCCCACGTGTTTAATTACTATATCGTACTTCAATTTACGTGTGAGATGATGAGAATAATCTTCTTCTCGTACAGTGATGTTTGCGGCAGCAACCAGGTAATAACTTGTGTGGATATTACGTTTGTGAATTTATCACTACGCACATAAGAAGAACTCCTAAAGATGTCCTCAGAGTACGTATATATCAATTTTTTTTTATTTTTAAATGAATATATATATATATATGTATTAATACTTTTCCTTTTATTTCAAATACAAGACTGAATGGTTGAAACAAAGGGTCATGCAAAAAGACCATCTGAAAGCAGTTCAAGAGTCAATAGCCGGATTTTTTCTAGAAAAAGTGCTAAATCCCAACGGCGAGTTCTATTTTGATCCTAAGGAATAAATGGTGTAAATTAAATGTTTATTGATATCGTTATTTTCGAGAACAAGATTATGAAAGTGTTGTATATATACATATATATATATATATCTATAATATATATAGGTTCATACTTTATTTGAATATAATAATGCTCGAGATGAGAATTAGATGTAATTATATGCGTGCGTGTATTTATATTAGCAGCGTAGAATACGTACATAAAAACATATTATATATTAAACAAATACGTGTAACTGAACTGAAAACAAATTAAACAAAAAAAAAGAAAAAAAAGGAACCTTTAGTTCCGGTTAGGGTTACCAACCGGGACTAAAGGGTGCGGCCACGTTTGCTCGGCTGGAGGGCCTTTAGTCCCGGTTGGTAACACCAACCAGGACTAAAGGTCCCTCTTTAGTCCCGGCTCGATGACCCGGGACTGAAGGTGGCACCTTTAGTCCCGGGATCGTTGTCCCGGAGCGGTAACCGGGACTAAAGGTCGTTACCGCCCAGGACAACAAGTTCATTCTGTAGTAGTGTGTAGAGCCAGCTCGAAATACAACCTCCTCTACAAATCGTTGTCCAGAAATGAGAAATCTTAGGCAGCCACATGTGCCATCACAAGTCACAATATTTTTTTGCGTGAAAAATGCATGCTTCGTCACAACCGTGGGGGGGGGGGGGGGGTTGTCTAACCCACAACCTTAGGCTTCACACATTACTCATCTAACAACTCCAGCCAAAAGTGACTTGTGTCCTTAAGGCATATTCATTCTCATATTATCTTCAACTGATTTTGAAATAAGTATTTGAGACCCTAAATAAATTTAAATAAAAATGTTTTCAACTGTAACGTCATAGATATCATCGAGGTCTACAACTTTGGTTTTGTTTGTTTCTTCATCTGAGGTCATTTGAAAAGTTTAAATTTCAAATGTGAGAAATTCAAATGTTATTTTCCCTGGAGAGATGATTTCAAAGAAAAATGTTGTAAACTACAAAGTTATATAACTCTTCAAGATCTACAACTTTGATTTTTGTCGTTTCTCCATCTGAGGTCATTTAAAAAATTCAAATTTTACCTATTTTAAGAGATGGCTCTAGATCCATCTGCCGCTACAGAATCGGTTTTTAGAGGCGGCTTAGCAATCTCTAGAAATTCATTTGTAGAGACGGCTGGATCTAGCTAGACCCACCTTTAAAGATAGGGTATTTGTAGAGGCGGCTAAAAATATCAGTCGCACTTACAAATGCGTTTCTAGAGACGGCTCGTTTTGGGACCGATTTGAAAAAAAGAGACATTGCTAAAAATCATATCTTCAGTAGTGAACATTTACAACGTGTTTGGTTTGCTTCACCGTGTGGTTCGGAATAATCTCATCTAAACACCGAGCTAAAGGCGCCGTTTCGTTTGCATCAGCGGACGGACCGATCCGTCGCCGACTAATTCCTCGTTGGCATGCCCACAAGTCAGTTTCTGTAACCATTCGGCTCCCCAGCAATCAGCGGACGACTATGTTCCCTACAAGTTGATCCTAGAAAAGGTGAACACCTGAAGGATCAATTCATTCCGCATGAGATCATTCATTGAACCAAAGGTGCTGTTAATCACCCCTCCTCTGCTGTTTGATGCATGAGATGTATTGCAGTAATCTGTTCGGCCAAATTAAATTACACAGCACCAAGGAATAAGGACCGGGTAAGCATTTTACCCTTGTTGAGATCAGTTCTTCCACACCCCTCACCGTCATCAATAAATCCCTGGCCTGCTATTGGATTTTAAGGTCTCTAGTCTTACATCATCAGACTAGCACATTCATTAAGTTTACAGAGACTTGTAAATTTGCTTCATCCACAAGAAATTGTGAGAATGGAAGCCACACACGCAGGTGTGGATCTTTCATGTGGTGAAGATGGAGGCTCATCTGGTTTCTGAGTTCCATGTATGATGCTGCATTGATGAAAGGCCTTCATGTCACTTTGCTCTCCAATCAAACACACCATTTACAATGGCACCCTCCTAATCATTTGATGTAGTGGCGACTATTCTGAGGACCTTATTTGAATAATGATACATTGATGGTCTTCAGGTCACTTCACTCCCAAGCTGCAGACAGGTAAAGGACGAAACCCCCATCGCACAGAAAAATGTTGTAGGTTTGGAAAACATTGAGGCACTTCAATGTAACAAACCTTGTGGTTTTATTTTTAAAAATTATTATGATATTGCTAGCAACTACATCAGATGGAGTTTTAGCAAATCCACACATGGTCTCTTTCCCCCCCTAAAATGTGTTTTTTTTCACATCTCTTGTTTCTAAAGCTATAGCTACATGATACCAACCAGGGCTTTCTGAAACTACAATATCCAAACTTGACCTGTTCAACTTGTCACCATCTGATTCACGCTGGCCAGTTATGTTCAGACACATAATGAAGAGAAGCAAATGTTCCTGTCGGGGATGACACCTTTGGTCATGCCGTCGCCACCCCCGTATCAGAAGAAGAGTCGCCGCTTTGCTTTTTTTAGGTTGCAGGGTCAGGAGGATGTGTGCCAGAGGAGAAAAGGTCAAAGTACACCTTCACGCTGCAGCCACCAGCAAGCTCCAGGGCAGCGATGTCCATCGCCGACGCGGTCCAGCCCATGAAGGAAGACTAGGGTAGACATGGCAGGTCATAGAGCCTATAGTAGGTGATTCCGTGATGTGAAAAGGCTAAAATGCCCGGAAACCATTCTTACTCCCTATAAATAGCTCCCTAAGCTGTTGGTAACAAAACACTTATGGTCCACTTTATTATCTTATTGTTCGATCCATATTTTGTCCTTTGATGTCTCCCACCTCTTGATTCAAGCGAGGATCCGAACTCAACACTTCTCAATTTAGTATTGTGCCCCTATGAAGATTATTTCTTCACAACCCTTGCTATTCGTCCCATAAATGTTCATGACCAGTCTACCTGTCTTGATGAAATGACCCTCCTTATTAATGACCTGCCTATAAGTTCTGATCTTATATTCTTCCACAGCTCAATTTAGCATCCAGAATATTGTTCTCTGTACCCAGCATAGCTGTCCGGCTGTCCCCACTTTTAATGCAGTTTGGTCGAAGGTACATTCTTACAACCACTTAGCTAATCTTTGCTTCTGATGCAAGCTGATATACCTAATCTCTTATGCATACTTTTATTTATTGTTTTTTTCTGAAAGGGAAGCAAAGCTATAGATTCCTGAATCCTGATGGCGGCTGAGATGGTCAGTTCTGCAGTTATCCAGGAGTCATTTAGCCAAATACTATCTGGCCTAGTTAAAAAATATGATGACAAAGAGGAAATAAATGGAATCAGGAACATAGGGAGGCTAGAGATGGCACACATCAGGCTGGAAGCTGCTCTTGAGACTTCTAATAAATGGCAGATCACTGATACATCCATGTTGCGTTGGCAAAAGAAGCTGAAGCATGCTGCACAAGTGTGTGATGAGAAACTGCACACATGTAAGCAGAGAATCCTCGAAGCAGAATGCATGGAACAGGAGGTAAGGAATTCCTCCATTCCTAAACGGATTGGACATGCTACCAAGTCATTTGTTTTCTCCATCTTTAACCGCAACAACGATGATGAGTTGAATCCATCAGTTGTTAAACGATTTGAGTGGTATGCTGATGGTGCTAGTGAATTCCTGAGATTTATAGAGCTTGGCGGCACACCACTTTGTCACATCATGCCCTTTGGCTCCCTTATCAAGAATCTTTTTGCAGGCAAGGAACTTCACCATAAAATTGTTCGAGGAAGCCAACAGCCTTTGTGTCAACTATGGTTGATCCCCTTTAGTACTGCAGAGCAAGGAACAGAGGTTGCCCTATTTTTTATCAGGAAAGATGGTACAATAGAGGGTAATATCTACTTTAGTATGATAGTGCAGCTTTCAGAGAGTACAGACATAGTTGGGATTTAAGTTAGGAGTTTGCAGTTGTTTGCCCCTCATGTCAGATTTATAGTTGAAAATATTACCAACCAACTTACTCAACTATACCTACTCAGGACTTCTCATGGGCGCCATTTGCTTATTCATACCACATAGAACATTTGTACATTCTTCACAACATTGCATCTCAATGGTTTCGCCCGAATCCATTATGTTGCAAGCAGCAGCAACACCATGAGGTTCCACATTTTAGCAACCTAAACATGGCAGGATTATCAGATGTTCCGCTAGAACCAGTAATTGAATTTAATTTACAGTGGCAAGTCCCACATTCAGTTTACAGCAAGCGAAAGACCTCACTGTCTGAAGGCACAATGTCTCTGCAAAGTTCTCCATATCTAAAAGCTGGAGTTGCTTTTGAACCCCATGGCTCTTCTGAAGACATGCTACCAGTGAATAAAAGTTCTGAAGCAGTTGAGATAGTTGGCGGTCAGCAACATGTCTTGCATAGGGACATCTCCTTGGAGCAACTGGAAGAGATTATGCTAGCAAAGGCCATAGATTACTTCTGCCACAATGATGAAGCCTCCGTAAACTAATTGATTTGGAGGTCTAAACATGGGGCTGCACGGATTCATGTTAAGAAGCCAAGCATAAACACATGGAGAACAAGCATGAGAGCACAGAGAACTTTTGGGGGACCTACAAATAGAAAGCTGCTGAGAGGACAGGATCAGAAGATTGGGAATTTTCTAGGTGTGCTCACTCACTTCCTCGACTTATGGGGTGCCCATGTGCCGATCCGGCTGCAAAGTTCTCTCATGGACTAGAGGCAGAAAGAAAGGGCAAGAGGAGCGAAGCTACAAATAACATAAACATCTTAATTTTACATTGTATATAATAGTCTTTATTGTTTATGTCTTTGTGAGGAAGTAGTGGAGTATGTATGTTCTGCATCAGGAACTTATGCAACTGTGTCTTAGTTTAGTTTAGTTGTCTCACTGTCTCGTATATGTGATATTGTTTGTATCTCATCAGCTGAGATAAGTTACAATGACGAAGCCGCCAACCCCAGCGCCATGCAACCTCCACATGGCATTGGCTGGGAATCCACGAGTGGTTGTGCATTGCTCCTGTTAGAGTGCGTAGCGGATCCGACTCAGCCAGCTATACCGATGAGCCGGCGCCCCTTAGGCTTAGGTCCATTGCCCCTTAGGCTTAGGTCCACTGGAACCCACAACATACCAAGGCCTTGGGCCTAGCTTAACCCAAAAGACTAACCTGATAGGTGAGGGATGCTCTGTCTTATATGCTATGCTCCCCTACCATCAATTTTTGATGTGGGATTAAAACTAAAAATATGAAATTGATAGTGGGGGAGCACAACTATATCTTGAGCTATATCTGTAATGACTCTATGTACCATCTTGATACAAAGGTTATAACTTTATTTGAAATAAAGCTTCCCTTTTGTCCCCAACATTTATTCATTATCTGTAGTTTCATGCATCAGATGTAGTGTAGTTATTTTTTGTAACAACAATCTATTAAGCTAAAATCACACATAGAAACAAGCCATGTGGACCGGGTAAACATTATTTATCCTTGTCCAGACCTTCCACACCCCTCACTTTCAACAATTAATCCCTGGCCTGCAGTTTGATTTAATTTTAATATCCCTAGCCTGACCTAGTCCGATTAGCACATTCCATAAGTTTACTATGGAGACTAGTATATTTTCTTTATCAACAACAAATTGCCAGCAAAGGAAGTGGAGCTTTCAAGGTGTAATCTTTGATCCGCAAAAAAAAAGGTGTAATCTTTGATGTGGTGAAGATGAAGAGTTTTCTGACTTCTGAGTTCCTTGTGAAATGCTACTTCGATGAAAGGAGTCTATGTCACTTCTCACTTTGCTCCAAAATCTGATAGTTATAGGATCACTCTCCGAATAATAATTTCTAACACAATGTAGGCCCTATTTGGATATAAATTTACATAATTTTTGAAAAAAATACAGTTTTTCAAAATAATTTGGTTTTGAAAAACAATGAGGTTCTTGGATTCAACAAATCTTAGCTTAATTTTTTGAAACTATGGTATTAAAAAAATAATGTGTTTTTGAAATTTTAAAAACTCCATCCTAACCTAGGGTGTTTTTCTAAGCTGTGGTTTTTCACATATATGGTTTCTAAACACTACCTCAGATCTTCAAATCACTGCCGTTCAAAACCCCCCTTCACTGCTGGATTTTGAACCGGCACAACCAAACCGGCAGTGACGGGGGTACACATCAGCGCCAGTTCTTATAAACTGGCAGTGATCAGAAATTTCATTGTCGGTTCGTGACACGAGCTGGCAGTGTCTAGTTGAGCCAACACTGCTGGTTCTTTACACAAACCTGCAATGTTCTCTCGACAAACACTGCCGGTTCTTGGCACAAGCCGGCAGTGTACTCTTGACCAACACTGCCGGTTTGTGGCTCAAGCCGGCAGTGTTCTCTTGACCAACACTGCCGGTTTGTGGCTCAAGCCAGCAGTGTTATGACCAACATTATTGTGATACCAGTTCCTGTATTTGTGGAAAAACAATCATTGTATATGTAGGCTACCATATATAGATACAGTAGATGATACCCCGCGCGTTGCTGCGGTAGTTTTATAGTGCTATTATGAAGAATGGTTCTGAGAAATAGCAAAAGCACAATATGCACACATGTTAATTTGAATCTTTCTGGGAACAAACAGAATTTTATGATACAAAAAGTCAGGAATAGTGCAGATTTCAGAGCTGTATGAAGCCGGTGTATGGTAAAGTAATTCACTGGCAAATCTGTTTTCCACTTAATTAAACAATAGTAGTTCGCGCAACTGATAGATGGATGTTACGTATATACCTAAGCAAGCTCTTAATTCGCAATTACTCAAGACATTACTATGTAACAATATGGAATATGAATAATGAAATATAATGCATATACATATCTGACATGAGCTGGTCTTTCTATAATTGCATTGGTATAAAATATAGTCTTTGTGTCCTCGTCTGTCAGTGCTCCTCCAAGTCTTGATTATGTGAAGGAGACAACTTGTCAATTGTTTACTGTTCAACACTGATAGCTAGGGAACGAAAACAGAAAAAGTAATACCATGTTGCACAATAGTTTAATCACTTGCTATATGGTAAACTAAACTGAAAAGGGAAATTTGAATAAGAAGATGTAAGAACTATTGGAAACTCTGCTCACTATCAGATGGAGGTTGTTTATTTTTTTTTATGAAACTGAATAATGATTCCATGAGTGAATAATTGAAGAAACAGGTAAAAGCTATTCCCTACGTTTTTTTACAAGTGTCGTATTTGCTTTTAGCAAAATGTCGGAAAAGGATGGCGTATTTGTGCCGGTTGCTTCGGTTGGAGAGATCGTGCAATTAATCTGCTGCGTGATAGAGCCTGGGCTGGTGGCCGGCCAATAGATTTGCTGCGTGACAGAGCGTGGGTTGGTGGCGAGCCAATAGATTAGCATGCAGAGGGAGAATCAATACAGCATTAATTAAGCAGTAGTTGAAAGGAGAAGGATTAACTCATGTCCTTGGTCTGTGTAGTTGAAGAAAATACGACACTTATAAAAAAACGGAGGGAGTATTAGAAACTCACCTAGCCGGTCAGAAGTTGATCACTACCAGTTGGAGGTTGTTAAATATATCTGCACAAAGCTGAATAATGATTCCATGAGAACCTTCAGATTCCATTTGTAAGGATGTGACCATATGAATTTTGCATAGCTATCCTGATGTTCAGAGATAAAATTATTGTGAACATCCCCTAGAAATCCTAAGAATCATTGTGATCCCGTATGAATTGACCCAGACCAAAAATCTGAAATCAGTCAGTCATGTACACGTCGTGACAAAGAACTCCAAGTCTCCAATGGTGGTCTCAACCAAGATTTTACACATGCTGTGCCATGATCCGATGCACGTTTGATGAATGACAGAAATTCCAAAAGTGACCACAGGGTAGGAAATAGTAAGCTGGTAGGATTAATGTGATAAATAATTGCATATAAGGGCACATAATTAGAACTTTGCAGATTGATGGAGAGTTCCAAGGAGACCGGATGGTGAGCTCACCAGAAGCTGAAGTGGAAGGGGTAGGTGTGCTAGGCCAAGTGTGATGGCCTCGACTATCCAGTGCACCATGGATGTGCCATCGTTGATATCGACGATGATTCCGGTGTGCCAGAAGCGGTGCCTGTCGTCGGCGTGGAGGCAGTAGGTGAAGTAGTTGCACACGAACCCTACCTGCCCTCCACATGAAGGTCTGCCGTCTGCACTGGATAGCATGTCGCGACGTCGTGTGTCGGCCGCGGTGGCCGGGCGATGCTGGTAGGAGCGAGGCAAAAGGTGCTGTACAGGGAACACATCCAAGGCAGCACTGTGAGGTTCGTGGAGTTGTGAACTGGAGAACCATGCCATCGATGGAGGTGGAGATGACATTAATAAATAAAGTCTCAGTGGACATGCAGTTCAGACGATAGAAAATTAATGAGGGAGAAAGAACCGAAGAGATGACACAACGGTGGAGTTCCTTTTGATTCCCTGGTGACGCACTGGACATGTAGTTGAAACGACAGAAGATTAATGAGGGTAGAGAGAACTGAAGAGATGACATATGGTGGAGAAATGAAGTGGCACCTACGGTTGAGAGAAGTTAACTTGTGGTTGTGGGGCCCCCAGATGACATGGCTTTACGAAATCGCAAGAAAATACTCTAGTGGGGTTCTCCTATTTAGGTATAATAATAATTGATAATAGATATATTTTTGTGAAAAATAATCGCCATATACATTGGCTACCATCTCTAGATACATATACCAGTTCCTATATATAGTGCCCACCATTCAATCCCTCGTCTACAGTTTGATGCATCATATCTAGTGTAGTCCATTTTCCTAACAACAATCTGTTTAGCCAAATTACACAGCATCAAGCAACTACGACTGGGTAAGCATTATTCCCTTGTGGAGAAAATTTTCTCCACAGCCCTCACTATTATCTATTAATCCCTGGCTGCAGTTTGATTTAACATCCCTAGTCTGAACTTTTCTCCAAGCCATAGCTTTTCACACCTCTGGATCCAAAGCTACAGATTCCGGCTATCAGTGTCATTTGATACTGACATTCCGGCTAACCAGGTGGGGTCTTCATGTATTCACCACTTGATTCATGCTCGCCACTTAATAAGTCAAATACCCCTGACAGAAGACCATTTCTTCCACACCCGTTGCTATCAGACCCATAAATGTCGATGATCTGCCTACCTATCATTGTGGGAATGGTCCCTTCACATTTTTATTAATGAATTCACCGGGGGATGAAAAGTCTCCATCTGAATAATTTTCCACTAATACCGGTGAGGCCGGGAATAGATGGTGCAGAGCACCTATAATACAGGGATAACCCTTGAAGGTCAGAGAAGTACATGACAAGTGGAGAGAGAAGGATTACAACATTAACAAAAACAACATGGTTCAACTACCGGCACAGCCTACTAATCGGAGCGAGTGCAAGCACTACTTCGTGACCTATGTGACCACCAA